CGCTCAATGTTGTACCTATGGTTAGAAATGTACATGATGGGAACTCCAGGGATCTTCCGGATCCTTCGTTTAAGGTCCCGGTCAACTGTGGCCACAATGTAACACTTGTGCTGAGTTACTCTCTGTACTAAGCAGTCATCTGCATAGGTTCCTTTGTGTGTGCATGGTAATCGTTCAAATCTTGGATCCTTGGCAATCCTTAGAGCCATTCGATACTTTTGCCCCAGTTTCTCAATTTCAGCCATTACACAGTCAGTTATACAAGGGATACACTTGGCATACAGACAGTCCATCATTGACTGTACTAAGTCAAGTTTTGCTTTAATGGAAAAGTTGATAAAGTTGGTATCAACCAGGATGTGGTAAGGTGGGCCCAGCTGTGTGTTATATTGGAAGAATAAGCAGGAAGGATGTTGGGGGACTTCTCTTTCCTTGAGTGCACTGGGATCTTTCTTTTCTTTCTTTTTAGGTTTTAATCTGTCCTTCTCTTTAAGCCTCTGATCTCGGAGACTAAGCATTCGCTTCATGGTGGCATACTTTCTTGCTTTCTTTTGCTTCCCCATGTTCACGCCGTGCTCTTGTTTCTCCAAACTTTATTTTTAAGCTAAGATTTATTGGGTACAGTCTATGTGCCCACTATGCAAAGTAAATATTCCTAAAAGGCAGACACCGTTAAGATGCCCATTACATGGATGAGGAAATGAGCCTTGTAGAGACTAAGCATCTTGCTCAAAGTTATGCATCTGGTAAGAGATGATCTGAGATTTGCATCTAGGTCTGTAGATGCTGCTTCCATGAGTTCCAGTTTTTACTGAAGGTGAGACTGTGGAGAGTCCTGGCCAGATGCTGGTCAAATGGTTAAAGGAGACAGAGTAGATGGACACCCTCTAGCAGCCACAGAACCATCACTGCAGTTGTCTTCTTAGATGCAGTGCTGCTCTCACAGGAAATGTGGAGCTCCTGGGCATCCCTCAGGGGCATGTGCATTTCAGGGATCCATGCCATGTGCTTCCTGTGACTCCCACACCCTCTTATTGATGTGCTATACACTCACAAAGGGTTTGCAGGAAGCCTTCAAGGGGAGTGAAGCCACTAGCAGATTTCAGGAGCCTGAATTAGTATGTTATGGAGGAATGTTATTATCTGTCACCTGCATAAAATGAACTCTGAACAGGGAAGTAAAACAACAAGGCATTGAGAACAGCACTGGGACCAGGTTGTCATTGCCACAAAGCTCCATGAGCAGTTTCCATCTTGCAAGCTATCCCATGAGGTGCCTTTTCTACTGCATTTTCCCTTTATGACATTCCAAATAAAAGACAGCTAGATGCAGAACAAACAAAAAGCATCTGAGCATTTACAGGATTTGAGATAAGCATCCTCCTATCAGGAAGCAATTGTATGAAAAAAAAAATCAGTTAAGAATGAGGTTTCCAATTTATATAAATGCTCAGATTTGTCCCATAGGTTATTAAAGCTGAACAACAAGCTTCTCATTCTATTTAGAGGCCAAACGCTGCAAAGCTATTAACTTGCATACATCTTGTGTGCTTCAAAATTGAAATTAGCTTCTTTAATTGCATCAGCATAAAGCAAATATCTGTTCCTCAGAGAACCTAGTTTTAAAGGTAGTTTGAAATTAAATGACTCCACAGCCCATGTGGGTGTCATGCCGCCTGATGCTTTGAGGCACACATAGCAAATAGTGAGCCGGCAAATTGAGTGGAAACCCCTAATCACTTAGATAATGACCCCAGTAGAAGCTTCCTCAGGAGGAGAAATGTTTCATGATATTGCCAGGTGGGACCTGGGTCCTCCTGGTCCTCTTTGCCCATCTGATTCAGCACAGACCAGTTCCACCAGCAAAGGAACCCAGCTCACTTCTTCAGTACCCTGGCGAAGCAAAGGAATCAGAGGAAATGGAGCATGGAGACTGGCATTCTGAGGAAGAGGCAGAAGAGTGAGAAGAGACAGTGAGGCTGACTAAGAAAGAGAGGGGCAGGGGGTGGAAGGAGAGAAGGATGAAGAAGACCCTAAGCCCTGCCATGCTACCAATGAGAGGTATACTTCCCATTCCTCTCCATCAGATTTACTGTTAATTGGGCATCAAATTAAGAGTATCTTTCCAAGTTTGCTATTTGAAAAATTCAACAATTATAATAATGATGACAACTTGCCTTTATACAGTGTTTCATTTTCTCTGGCATACTTATATTGACATTTACAGTTTTGGTGTACAAAGTGCTTTCATATAGGCTACCTCTTTGAGCCACAGCATGGACCCTGAGGAAGTTAGGGCTATGTGAGAAATGAAAGGTGCAGCCTGCCCTAATATGAATAGAGTACACTTCCAGGTGATTCTCTTTGGGGTGAGAGGTATCTGTTGACTATTGACACGTAATAAATTACCCCCAAACTCAGCAGCTTAAAACCTCATTAATTTTGCTCACAGTTTTGTGGGTCAGCTATTCAAGAAAAGCTAGGTTAAGCAATTCTTGGTTGGGTTTTTCATGCTGTTGTAGTCAGCCTCGGCTGGAGCTGCAATCCACTGAGGGCTCAGCTGAGCTAAATATCCAGGGCAGTTCATTCACAAAGCTGATACATCACATGGCCTCTCTATCATGAAGGACTTGGGGGACCTGAACTTCTTATGAGGTTTCTGCCCTTTCTCCTACAAGAACATCCCAAGAGAACCAGATGGAAACTGCATGGCCTTCTTCCACCTCTTTTTGAGAAGTCACACAGTGCCCCTTCCATTGTATTCTGTTCATTACAAATTCAAGGCGATGGCTCACAGACCCCACTTTCCAATAGGAGGAGCAACAATAATTAAGGGTCATACATTTAATCACCACCAGGAAAATGGTCCCAGATGAATTATGTCCCAGGATTAGAATCTTGGTTACCCAGCACACACCCCCCCCGCCGAGAAGCCTACTACTTCTCTGGCCTGCAAATGCTCTTTTACTATCTAGGTGTGAAATATGTAGGATTCTCCAACATAGTACACAGTGTATTGCATTATTGAGTAGGTTAAAACATAAGTGCCCTCCCCCCATGGGCTGTCAATTAACTATCTTATGTTAAGTGGCAGGAAGAGGATGAAAAATTACGAATAAATGAGAGTAAGGGATCCATCGTGCTCCTGAGTCTGCATACATGAAAGTAAGCAAACATTAAACCCAGAGCAAGTCAACATGGCCTTTTTATTTGTCTTGTCATGAAACTTGGGAAGGAGATGCTCTTCTCAGACAAAAGCTCTGCAACTGGTGTCTGGTCTATGCCAAGAACTTGGAACAGATGATGTTGTAAGTACAGCCCTCTGCACCCTGCTTTAGCCCATTTGATGAGCACCAAGGAAGTCATAATATGACATGTGACATCTTCTGTAGAACCACCAGCACAATTCTCGCATACTTTTTCAATAAAGGAAATCACTGTGCCTGATGCTGACCTATCCTGGAAATGAACAAATAATCCATAGATCCCAAAATAGACAAATAATCCATAGGTCGTGACTTTGACGGACACATGGCCTAGGAAATGCCGTCAAAACTATAAACCTGCAAGTGTGCTGAGAGTTGGACTTTTATTTTCTTCAAGCCAAGGCTGACTACAATTTTTATTTCTTCAAGCCTTTCTCAGGAAAGGCTTCTTAGAGAAAGTGAACTTTGAGCTTGAATCTATAAAGTAACTATGTTTCTACATGTCTGGTGTATTGAGATGGGGTGGATAGGAGTTGGTAAAAAGGCAGCTCTAGGCCAAAGGGTCAGTCTGAGCAGTTAAAAGGAATATAAAAGGTGTGCTTGGATATTCTCAATAGTTCTTGAAAGTTCCACCACATCTGCTATTCCCAGGGAGTATCCTTCCCTAGTACAGACAGGTCTTAGCGCCGAGCGATGTTGGGCACTTTTTCATATGTCTGTTGACCATTTGGATGTCTTCTTTGGAAAAATGTCTGTTCATGTCTTCTGCCCATTTCTTGAATGGATCATTTGTTCTTTGGGTGTTGAGTTTGATAAGTTCTTTACAGATTTTGGATACAAGCCCTTTATCTGATACGTCATTTCCAAATATCTTCTCCCATTCTGTCGGTTGTCTTTTGGTTTCGTTGACTGTTTCCTTTGCTATGCAAAAGCTTTTTATCTTGATGAAGTCCCAATAGTTCATTTTTGCCCTTGCTTCCCTTGCTTTGGCGATGCTTCTAGGAAGAAGTTGCTGCAGCTGAGGTCGAAGAGGTTGCTGCCTGTGTTCTCCTTTAGGATTTGGATGGACTCCTGTCTCACATTTAGGTCTTTCAACCATTTGAGTCTATTTTTGTGTGTGCTATAAGGAAATGGTCCAGTTTCATTCTTCTGCATGTGGCTGT